AAACCAGCTTTTCAGAAACTCTAGAAAATAACCCAACCTTTCTTAAGAATACAGAATTGTAGCCTGCAAATTTCTGATTAAAATGAGACATCCCCCAGCTCTATACGACCTTTCTTTGCAAAGTTATAAGAAGAGCCCTAAATTGTTCATTGTTAGTTCAAAGCTACAGAAATAATTTAGGGCTCTTCTTATAACTTCGCAAAGAAAGGTCGGAGATGTCTCATTTTAATCAGAAATTTGCAGGCTACAATCCTGTATTCTTAAGAAAGGTTGGGTTATTTTCTAGAGTTTCTGAAAAGCTGGTTTTCCAGAAGACTGGATCTTTGAAGAGCATTGGGCAACCCCCATGGTCATATTCGGAATCAGCATGGTCGATAACCTATAACCCACTAGATTTCCATCAAAAAGCGAAATATCACCTCGCGAGGTTTCCTCTTCAGTTGACAAGTATCCTGAAAAAGATCTCAGCTTGGAAAATAACTCATTGTTATCGAAATTTATAAGTCTTGGAAAAAATCAAGTAATAGATTTTGAATCATAGATGTGAATCAGAGCTCCGTGTGGACTGGACTCAACCTTTCAAGATCATGAGCTGATGGAGTCTCGAAAAAAAGTTTTGGATTTACTTGAATCGAGGATTAATCAGTAAAAAACACGTTGTTTTTGTATTGTGAACTGGACTAAGCGTGCCATATTGCGGCACATTTAAAAGATAATTTTTCGATATTAATTAAAAAATCATATTGTTTACTTGCGTCGTATCGAACTTTGTAAGAATTATTTAAGTATCATTAACGTATGAATGTATGAAAATGAGACTAAATACAGTAGTTATATAATTTCCTAAGATCCATCTTTGCTATCTACAAAATTAGATTGATCAGATTCTTTCCGAAATCTAAATAAGGGTTATACTAGTCAATAATCAGCTCAGTTTGAAAAGCTGAATCAACTATGCAGTTTTATCAGAGCTGAATTAGAGTTGGAATCAGCTCAGAAAAAACTAAAAAGTAACTTTTATAAAATTATTTCTTCTCTTTTGCTTCTCATTTCATACACTAGTCGATAATCAGCTAGGTCAGAATAGCTGAATCAGCTTTCCAGTTTCTTCATCTCTGATTCAAATCTCATTAAAATGCACGTCCGAATTCAGAGCTGAAAATACTGATCAGCTCATTCAGCTCTGATTCTGGTGACGGAATCTGAGCTGAATTTTTTGAAAGTGTCGATATCAGATTTTCCAGAGCTGATTCAGGTCAGATTTTTCAGGTCTAAATCAACTATTCGAAGAAAAATGCTTCTGTAAACATCAGTTTTTTTCTCCACACCGAGAAGTCAAAGTGTGTTTTTTAATGTCTTTTTTATTGCATAAGCTAATCCAAAAATAGTTCAAAATGCTCTGCAAACTGTTACAAGTCATGAAAATAGAAAACAAAACACCTTTCATTTACAACGTGGAATAATTGATTAGACAATACTATAAAATAAATCAAAATAAAACCGGTTCGCATGAATCTTACACCAGATCATCACATACTAAAACTAAATTAGGAAACAATAAAAACCAATACTCTTTTATAGAAAATAAAATAATAACAATACATCCGCAATATCTACTGTTCAAACTACTGATAAAACTGTTACTGTTCGAATGAGTTACAAAATGACAGTGCAACGGAGCTTTTGTGTGTTGTGTTCACTTTGACAATAAACTATTATTTTGTAAGTCAAGACGGAGAGACATCTAACTTTTATCGCGCGACCATGCCTAGCTTATATAGACTTATTAGTATGAAATTAACACAATGAAACCTTATTATTACTCAGAATCATCAGATTAACTGAATCAGCCCTGAAAGTACTGATCAGGATATCGTCACGGATTTAGAAAAAGATAAGAACAAATGTTTTTGTGAAAAATAATTTTCAGTTTTTTCAGGGCTGATTCAGACTCCGATTCAGAGCTGAAAAAACTGGAAAGCTGATTCAGCTATTCAGATCTAGCTGATTATCGACTAGTGTAGCTGAAAACCTTTGTCTGCATTTTTAGGCCTTAATCAGCTAACGGTCTATGGTGCGAATCTAGAAAGCACATTTCATAGTAATAGCGATCTCATTCTACTCAACGTAATACTGTTCTCATATGTTTGTAATTGTCTAAGTTATCTCAAAGCTAAGTTTTGTGGTATTTTAAATTTTTCTTAAATTTAGAAATTTTTATTATTGACATGAAGATTTTTCTTCTAATAGCTGATCCAGTTCTGGAAATCTGACCAGAATCAGCTCTAATATTTTAGAAATTCAGCTCAAATTCTCTCATTAGATGCAGAGCTCAATAAGCTTTTCAGCACTTTCATCTCGAAATCAGAATATACATTTTAATGAGCTCTGATCCAGTCGTGATAAAACTGCATTCAGCTTTTAAAACCGAGCTGATTGTTATTAGTATGTTATATGAAAATTCATTTTCTAAAATTGATATTTTTTATTTTTCTAACATTTTTATCAACCCGAGATCCAAAGCAGGAGAAAACTGGATTCTTTTCTTGTCCAAAAGCAAAGCATAAAACGTGACATTATAAATGACAAATATCGACGTTTTTTTAAAATATAATTACCAGCCGTATATCCCCAACTACAAATTCCAATACAAGGAACATCTAAACCCTGTTTTTTGTTTTTATATCGATAATTATTCAGTGCTTCGCCAACTTCTTTTACGACACCAATATTGGTTCCAGCCGTGATAATCCAAGCATCTAAAACAGAAGTAAAACTGACGGGAGACCATCGCTAATTGCCAACTCCGATTTCAACAATCTTTTGCCAATAGATGCTATATAGTATCCTAGTGATAATCCTAAAAGGATTTGGGTATGACTCTTCTTTCAAAAGTTAAGAATTATTCTATTTTCTCGGCCAGCGCTTTGCCTATATTTTGCAGAACCCTATCAAAAAGTATAGTAAAGAGCTGAAATTTTTTCCTGTGGCACAGTTAGATGTCTTCTATTAGCACAGAAAATTTCAGCCTTTCAGCTCTTCCAGTTCTTGAGTTGTAGGATTTTTCAAAAATGTTAAAGAAGTATGTTTCACATGGACAGATAACTCATGTAGTATCAACAAGTGCAGTGAGACAACATTCATTAGTTGTGGCTGGTGCAAAACACAACTTTGCTTTAACCATTTCTTCACCCAATGCCACGTTCATTAATGTTTTACTCAAGTTCTACTTCCGTCTCTATTTATGTTACTCTCCCGTTCTTGTTTCAATTGCAGTGTATCTCACGTTAAGATCAGTTTTATTATTTTATTTTAGGTTTTTAGGTTTCACAAAATAGTTTTATGTGCTAATAGAAGACATCTAACTGTGCCACAGGAAAAAATTTCAGTCTTTACTATGCTTTTTGATAGGGTTATGAATTCTGTAAAATATGGGCAAAGCGCTGGCCGAGAAAATAGAATAATTCTTAAGTTTTGAAAGAAGGGCCGTACTCAAATCCTTTTAGGGTTATCACTGGGACACTATATAGTATCTATCGGCAAAAGATCGTTGAAATCGGAGTTGGCAGTTGACAATGGTCCCTCATGAGGATTTTTAATAAAATTAACAGTGCATAATCTCACTTGTTGTCACAGCCGACGAAACTAAACCTTGTTGAAATATTTTTCTTAATCGCGCTGACATTTTCAATCTTTTAGCACCACCAGTAACAGTAATGATCAGATCTGGTATATTTAAATTCCATCCTGTTCTCATAAACTGAACAACATCTTCTGGCTTTGTACTGAGTGCTAATCGAATATACTTTAAAAAGACAGCTGTTTATAACTTTCTACGTATGCGTGTGATTTATTATTTATACCTGTGATAATCGTGTATCTTCGTCTAACTCATTTTCATCAAATTTAATAAATCCGTATTGATCTGTTAATTCATCATTACTAAATGATAGAATAATAATGGCAATTTTGTTTATAGAATTTATTTATACAAAAAGATTGTAGCATAAGAGGTTTTACAAATAGTTGAAGATGTTCTGCTGTCCATCAGTAGTACAACTACGAAGGGAGGAAGCCATACCCCAATAGGACCGAAATCTTTGGCTAACAGAAAATTCGTTTGAATGTTTGGCTCAAAGCTCTTCTTTCATTAGGATTGTATCTAAAATTTTTCTTGAACTTATGCTAAAGTGAACACAGAACAAAAATTTTTCTGACATAATCCGCGTGTTATTTCGTCGTTCAATCCCCTGGTTATGGATTATCAATCAAAATGATTTGACTTGCGTTTAGTCTCGATCAATTGGGTCATGCACTTTCGAAATATATGAATCAGTGGCAGCGTGTCTAGGAGTGTGTACACTCTCCTGCTTTCATAAATTTTGGTAGAAATTTGCTTCAATTTTAGCCAAAAATACGAACAGTTTACTCCAATTTTGTGAAGAAACATCAATTCGCTCCGATTTTTGGAGCTACATCTCATCTGCTTCATCCTCTTTGCGCTGTCACTGATGCGGAGGGGCAATTTAACTTCAAGAAAGTCCTGATATGAGATACAACGTTTTTTTTGTACCTCTATCGAATGATGAAATGATCATTGAAAGAGCAAATTAAAAAGTCTTTTTGCTTTTCGAGTTGTTTCGATTCGGGCAAGTCTGTTATTGAAATGGAATATCGAAACCTTTTTATGAGTTGTGCAGCCACAAAGTTACTGTTTCGAAACAATGTGTTTTTGTAAAGTTAAACTAGGAAAAGCAATAATCACGAATGAAACAGTGGCATTGAATGAAAAAATTTGATCTCTAACAAGAAGCCGTTCAGCCCATGTAAAACCCAATGATTATTCGTAGCTTTCTTGGAGGTGGTCTAGAAGTCCCAAAATCATAGCCGCATCCGTCTTGTCAACTGTGAATGACTAAGGTTTTCTCGAAATGTAGCTCTATGCCACAGTTTCATTGACATTATACCTCTTAATAAACAACTCTTGTTGCATTTGATCGTCTCTGAAGAACAAAATGTACTTACGAGATATTATCTGACTGTTTTATTGATAAATTTCTTACAGCCTAAGTAGGACATGACATTGTTACATAAAATATATAAATAAAATGTTTATACATACTGCGCTAACTTCTTGTAACTTAGTGGACAAATACTCAGCCATGAAGAAGCTTCATCACTATTACTTTATTGCCACAAGACACAACATATCTTAGGTTGTATAAAAAATCTAAAAAATTGAGTGTTTCATCAATTATATATGTTGATTGAGGTGACTCGACTAATCGATTCTAAATTCAGAGTTTTCTCATATAGACTATACTCTCATTAATCTTGAAAAACGTTGTTTTTCTCTTGATTTTGGTAGGAATCAATATATGGGAAGACAACTCTCTCCTTCAATGACAAAATTATGTAGAATATTATCCATCAGCCAACAATGAGATTTTTTTATTTTAGTGGCATACTCAGTAAGACTTATGATGCCTGGGGATACACAATTCGTCGAAAACATCTTATTTCTTATTTTTATCACTATTTTTTAAGTGGCTAACTGTTCATTTATATAACGCCATCTAATGAATAAAAATAAGTTGTATCAAAGATGTAAAAGAAAAACGATTGTTGAAATTATATGACACGTTGCCTTTTTTGCTCTATTGTGTTTTCGTTCTTTTCGTATCGACAAAGTCAACGGTTTTGGCCTCATTGCTATAATCCTTGAATATTCTTCTCTATTCTTTAAATATAAGAGAGAAAATTCATAACTTTACAACAATCTTCTTCAAACTTTACGTTTGTTCTGTTCTATACGTCGTTTTAATAACAGTACTGAATTGAAAGAATTAGAGACAAAGTGTCTTCTAATATACACATAAAAATAGAAACGAAAAAACACAAATATTTACGCGTGTAATAGTGTAATATAATCAAAACAAATCTTTATCAAAATAAATAAGGACGACTAATCGATAGATTAGCTGTAATTATGAGTTAATATGCAAATTTCTATGCCATAGAAAATAAAAACTTGCTAGATAAAATGATATACCTAAAGATCGTTTATTCAATTTCTTTCGAATCTTGTATGAAACAAGTTGCTGATATTCTTATATTTATCGGCAAAAATAGTAAATAGTTTACACAAAGTGAAACAAAATGGTTTGTAAAAACAAATAGAACCGTAAATTGACTCGGGTGAACGAAAAGAAGAATGTGAACATGAGTTTAATCAATATGGTTGAATATCAAATATTCCCGAACAATATCGAAAATCTTGTTGTAACTGTTGTGATGAATTGAATATGGGTGTTCGATACAGTTGACAGTAGTCTAAAACAAAACAAAAATGGTAAGACCTACATGAAGTTACAACAGACATGAAAAGGTTTATCTAACCGTTATCAGTCGGATATCGATGTATATTTGACGATGTATTGGTAACATCATTAAAATTGGATGAGAATCTACCGATAATTTGTGAGTCATTCATATTTCTGCAATCGGCAAACGCTGACATTAACGTGTACGACTGATGTTCAGGCATCTGATTTGTGCTCGTTTCAGATGGTGGTGAATATTGAGCTTTTGGTAGTTGATTAGTTGTCGTTGTCGATAGATTAGGATTATTGTTTGAGTGTTGATTTATCATCATTAGAGGCGTATCCCATAATTTTAAATTTTGACTATGTGAATGATTAAAAATTGGCATAGGTTGGATAGATGCAATTTTACGCCATCTTGCACGACGATTACTAAACCAAACCTAATAGCCAGAGACAATAAAATCAGACATATTATGTTGTTAGAGAGATACCTGTACGCGAGCTTCACTTAATCCAGTTTTCCTAAAAATAAACAAAATTAGATATGTTTATCACGCATAAATTCGAAAATGATCGTGTTCGATTTACTAACCTCGCCAATTCTTCTCTTGCTGCTATATCTGGATAATGTGTACGTTGAAAAACACGTTCTAATTCTTCTATTTGATCTTGACTAAAACTTGTGCGATAACGTCGACCTTTGTGATGTTTTATCGAACATGTATCACTGAGACAATTTACTTAAAGAATATCATGAAGTTTTATATGTACACGTATCAAGTTTAAATTTAAACATACCTTCTTGATCGTCGCTATTCTCATCACTTTTACTATATCTTAACATTCTAGTTAATGTACTCAAACTTGGTAATGATGTTGGTTTACAAACACCTTCTTTTAGTAAACGTTCACGAATCTCCCACACAAACATTGTTCCATTTGGACATGATTGTCGATATTCCTCAATTTTTTGTTCAACTTCAGCTGTAATCACGCGTGGTTTTGATCCACCGATACTACCCGGTTTAATACTGCCCGTTTCAGCATAACGTGCAAGAATTTTACTCACACAACCGTGACTAACTCTCAGCTAGAATTAAGCTAAAGTTATACCATCATTAAGTAAAAGTCAATAACAAACGGATTACCTGTCGACTAATAACACACGGTCGTACACCTTGTGATGCCAATTCAATAATTTTCAGTCTAAGATGATTCGGAAGTGGGCGCCCATTGATGAATACACCTCCAAGTTGATTGACACGTCCCTGTCCTACAATAAATTCAAATAGAGCAATGAAACACTCGAAGTTTCAAGCTTCATTTGAATAGTAATACTGAAATCTGGCGAAGTTTCGATATAGCCTACTACCACACATACTTTCAAATCATTCGTTGATCAATATATTATCAGAGAACTCTTACAGATATTATGGGTCTTGTAAAATGATTAATAAAATCATAGTATACTGTACAATAGTGACTTCCATTATTATCTGAATTCTCGATCATATCCGGTATTTAAACTGAAAGATTGCATTCTCAATCGTAGCTGAAAAGTTTTCCTTCAACTATAGTGAAAAATAATTTAACTGTGTAATTCGTTGAGTGTTCACATACCCCAGTGCCGGTAAATTGGATTCGACATTAAATAGACTGTAGATATAAGTCAAAAAGAGGGGTATTGCTAAAAGACGCGAACACCCATGAACACCCCCACATTAAAATCTGAGTTAGTCAATCGATAGAGCTCATCGAGCTGAGTATAGCAACGCCTAACGAACACCCAAAAATGTTTTTATAGTTTCGCTTTTTAAGCATACATTTTGAATACATGCTTGGACACCCACGAACATCCACGAACACCTACGAACACCCAAAGAACACCCACGAACCCA